TAGAGACCCTTGAGATAGAGACTGGACATCTGCCTGAAGTGCGCTCAAAATGGCCGTTGTATCATATATGTCATATGCGTCACATGTTTATATACGTATATCTTTTGTGCTGCTGTGTTGTGTAACATAATTTTTCATTTACACATTAGTCTGTGATAACGGTACGTAACATCTTTGCAATTTGATTAAGAAACTAAATAAGTATGAAATTCGATGTATCTGTTAATAAATATTCATAATGTTATAAATATCCTTTCTAACCTTATTTTGCAAAGTAATAAACAGTAATAAAGAAAAGTTTATTTTGAAAAATTGTATGTAATATATCTAAATATGAAAAATAAAATTAAAAAATGACATAAAATAATTATTTTTATAGATTAAAAATGCCATATTGCTGTGTGCCTGAATGTAAAAAATGCACAAGGAAAGGAGTAAAGATTTTTATGGCTCGTTTCCCAACAGATTCAGAAAGAAAACAGATTTGGATTGCTAACATAGGCAAAGATAATTGGAATAAGACAACAGATTTATATGTATGTGAGGTAGGTAATATGTGAAAGATGTCAATTCTTGTGTGTTATAAAAATAAAAATACGAACAATATATAAACATTTTTTATAGACACATTTTGCGAATGAAATGTGGGAGAAAGCACGCGTTGACGGAAAAAAGAAATTAAAAGGCAATGCTCTGCCCACAATTTTCCCTGCTCGATTGAAAAGAAGTAACACATCTATTATTACAAATGTAAGTCGTCTTTCTTTGTGTATTTTTAGAAACAGTCAGCAAACCGTAAACTACAAATGTTTCATCAAAATAACCCTTTAGGATAAAATGAATGAATCTTCAGAAAGTCAACCTAGTGCGTTTGAAACATTTAATGTTTATGAAGACAAGCAACAGGACTGTCTCGAAGCAGATGTTCCTGATGTTATTCCATTGACATCGAGTAATGTTGCAGGTCCAATTACACTTAATTTCCAGAATTACAAAATTCGACTTACTATAATATATCATTATGTTACTGATTATTGTTTATAATTACTTATACGACTTCCTCTATTATTGTGTAGATCTCTCCATTCCTACCCATTCAAAGAAAATATGTAACGAAGATATTAATGAAGTTGAACGATTAAATAATAATTGTGAACAATTAAAGAAACAGCTGGAGGAAGCAAATAAAAAAGTGGATTTGGCCAATAAAATTATATTGAAAAGTAACATATCCAACAATGTCTTAAAAAAGCATATTAAGAGGTTGACACAAATGAAAAACAATTCAAAAACCCAGCACAATTATGTGAAATTGAAATCATCACTGAAGCAAATATTTAATGATGACCAAATAGAAGCTCTCGAGCGTCGATCCTCACGCGGCCACAAGTGGTCTAACGATACGATAAAAAAAGCACTTCGATTAAAGTTTTCCTGTGGTTCCAGTGGATATCAAGAATTACTGAAGGAAAAACTGCCTCTACCATGCGAACGTACCCTTCGAAGGAAATTGGAAAGTATTCAATTTGAGGAGGGAATTTGTGACGATATTTTTAAATTATTACAAGACAAAGTTGCTCAATTTAAAGACGTTAGAGAAAAAGATTGCTCACTTGTACTAGACGAAATGTCTATTGCTCCAGGTCAACAATTTGATCCATCCACACAGTCATTTTATGGAACTGCATCGTTTTGCACGCGTAAGGGTGTGTAATATAAAGATGTAAAAAATACATACACTAATTAGATGCAAGAATTCACTGGGCATTTAACCCCTTGACTGGTGAGGACGTCTATAGACGTCCAAATAAATCGTGCCACTTCTGGTGACGACGTCTATAGACGTCATATCAATATCTTTGAAGTACTCAACCAGTCGTCTTGAAATTTGTAAGTGAGGGGTTGTTGGGGTCGCTGAATTCAAATTTGAGGTCAAATTTTCGAAATTCAAAATGGCTAATGCGGGAATTAAAAAAAGAAAATTTGGCCGCCGTATTGGATTGGTCATTTTGAATTTTCAAAATTTGACCTCGAATTTCAATTCAGCGACCTCAAAAACATTTCTATATACAGTTTCATAAAGATTGATTAATATTTGGCCTGTACCTGAAGCGGTGCGGAAAGACAGTTTCGCAGTACCAGTCAAGGGGTTAATAAGAGGCTGTAAGACTGCGTGTGTGTGTGTGTGCGCGCCCATTTTTTTGTAGCACTCATTGTTTGTAGCACCTATGTTTTC